CATGGATCAAAATGAGCCTTTCCTCTTCTCTGACACATATCTGCACTTCACTGATTTCTACAGAAGGAATCATTTCCTGAACCTCCTGAATTGGACCTCATCTCTCCCACAGAACAGCTCCAATCAGGCCCTAAATGTTCCCAGACACTTTGCAGAGGTCTGCACATTTTACAGTATTTTAAATGTTTTTCTTTTTTTTTGGTAATCATTCTTTTATTCCTTTTATTGTATCTGTTGGTTTAACGGATTATCCCTCAAAGACACAAATAATCTGAACAGCATAGTTACAGTCTGTGATAAGAGAGCAGGAGTCCAGATGTCAGACCTGAGCTCTGACTGGGAGAAGAGAGTCCTTCAGAAAAATAAATCCATCCTAAACCAGCCTCACCATGTTCTCAGAGTTTAGTTTATGTCAATTCCCTCACAACAGCACTATGTTGTTCCCAAACAGAAAACCCCGAACTCCTTTAGTCTCTCAGACATGCGGCTTTTCAACGTTAGATCAGTAACCAAAGATGTTGCTATTGTTTTAATAAACTTATTTAATCTTTATTTTTTTTATCAGTGGCACTAACGATGCTTCTGGAAGGTGGTTGAATGAGATTGTATAATTTTTCCTTGATTGTTTCCTATTGACCAAAGAGGTGCAAACTGAATTTGGGATGAATAATGTTGATTGATTGTTTGATTTAATTGATTGATGATTGATTGATTTATTAATTGAATGACTGATTGTTTTGTTGATTGGTTTATTCATGGGTTGGTGATTGATTAATTGATAAATTGATTGGTTGATTGATTGAATAATAGATTTTTTTTTAAATGGTACCAAACACTAAATGTGTTTCAGATTCTACAGACTTGCTGCACACTGATAAGCGGCAGCCTGTCAATCTGTTGTCAACCTGGAATCTCTGCTCCTGCTGTCCATGGTGCTGATCAGTCAGTTTCACCTCATTATGAACGGAATGAATGAGTATTGAAATATGCTGAAATAAAATAAACTCTCATTTAATTGTGAATTATTTAAAAGCTTTCATTTTCTAATATAGTAAAAAAAAATCAGTATGATTTTAAGGTAATTCACAGAGAAATGACCACTGTTGTCAATATATTAAAGAACAAAAAACATCTTTTTGCTTCTCTGTTACAGGGTGATCTATTTTCTTAGATGTTTTAAAAAACTAAACTGCATTGATACAGAAAGACATCAATATTGTGATCTGGTTTGAGATGGAATTTGAACAAGACAAAGAGGTAGAACAGTGTGTGAGGCCCTCTAGTGGAGGTCCTGGAGTAGTTCAGGTTTTTGTACAGAGTTCTGGTGTTTCCTGTCACTGTGGGCTTCAGAGCACAGTAGTACACAGCAGAGTCTGACAGACGGAGATCCTGGATCGTCAGATTAAAAGCTGAGTTCTTGACCTCTGCCTGAAATTTGTTTTTGCTGAATTCAGGAGCGTTATCTCCCTCTGATGAAACTCGTTTCAGCATATACTGTGGAAAGCTGTTTTCTTCTTGTTTATACCAGAACAATGTTGGTGTTACACTGCTTTTATAAGAACATCCCAGAGTCACAGATTCTCCTTCAGCAGCAACAACATGTCCTTCTGTCTGCGTCACTGAGTCTCCTTTACACTCTGAGGAAGAACAGAACATGCAGAGGAAGAGATGAATCAATAAAGATGATTGATTAAAGGAGAACAATCAGCAGCTTTAAAGGCTTCTATTCCATGTAGAATAGACTCTCTGAACTTTATAACCAGGTTAGTGACTCACATGCTTGTTATCGTCCCCCATAAGAGTTGGTTTTATTTTTGTGACCGAAATTGTGGAAAACAACTCATGAAGTTTGACCAGCTAGAA